GCCATGAAGAAGAATGAAATCTTATCATTTGCAGGTAAATGGATGGAACTGGAGAACATCATTCTGAGTGAGGTTAGCCAGGCTCAGAAGACCAAAAATTGTATATTCTTCCTCATATGTGGACTTTAGATCAAGGGCAAATGCAGTAGTGTTGTTGGACTTGGGTCACATGACAAGGGGGGAGCACATACGGGAGATATGGGGATAGGTAGGAAACCCAAAACATGAAAGTGTCTGGTGTCCCCACTGCAGAGGAGCTAATCTTAAGCTAATCTTAAAGCGACAGAGGACAATATGGGAAGGGGACCGGGAAGTAGTGAAGAGGTCAAGTAGAGATGAATCTGTTCGGGTTCTAATACATTTGTGCATGGAAGCAATGCTAGAAATCTCTCTGTTTAGCTATCCTTAGCTCAACTAGCAAAAACACTTTGTTTTTCTTATTATTGCTTATGTCTTCTCTTCAACAAAATTGGAGAAAAGGTAGAACAGGTTCTGCATGGAAGTGGGTGCGGGTAGCAGGGGGGAAAAGTGGCCCAAACAATGTATGCACATATGAATAAATGAATAAAGAAAAAAAAAGTATGCTAAGGAACAAGAAGCATATCATGTAAAATCAAAATATCACACTGACTGAAGATAGCTCAAGATTTGATGCCAGTAGCACCAGGTCATGTGAAGAATCTCATGTTACAGATTCAGCTGGTTAAGTTAATAAATGACAGGTGGCATGTATTTAGTACAAGTGATAGTGACACTTAATGGTAAACACTTGAAATGAATTCTCTATGTAATTATCTTCTCGTCACACGCATAGATAAGGATACTTGCCACTGTCACATTTCAACTAAAGTAGCCAAGGAAAATACTTCAAACCAAGGTCTCTAAATTCAAAACACTGTTTTGAGCCCATTTTTGAAGTGAAGCTAGACTGCTTCCCAAATCCACAGTAACTGAATATAATACACTAAATGAATATACTAGATGACACACACTTTTCAATGAATAAATCAAGAGTTTTCAAGACAAAGCCTCTTCTGTTTGTTGCTGAAACAGTCTGGGTCATTTAGTAGCTGGAGCTCTTGGTCAGAGCAATTGCTAACTCAGTCTGGGGAGAGATGACCTTGCTGAACAGTATTTCTTGGTCTGATTTAACAGCGCTACTGGTGCTCCATGTTATATAACTGCAGGCCCACAATGGCACTGGGCCTTTTTAATCGCCTCTTCCATCTGCAGGCACTGACTGACCACAGAGAACTTTACCGTCTGGCCACTCTGCTTCTACAGAACTCTCCTGTTTAGGTCCAGGGTAACTGCGAGATAGCACAACTGTTTGGACCTGCCACAGCCACCCCCTCTCCCCATACCAGGTTTCTCAATCACAGCCCCCTTTCCATCACAACTGGAGCGCCAGCCTTGCACAAGGACCACAACTCAGCCGTCTGCATCAGGCCCTCCTGCTGAGCTCCAGGACCCAAGCTTGCACACAGCTTGCTAGATGGCCCACAGGGAGCACTGCCTGTCCTGGACCCAGCAGGAGCTGGCCTTCCAGGCTGCAGAGGTGACGGCAGTAACTTGTAATAAGGATGATGTCATTTCTCCAGGACATCACTTCACACCAAACGGGTCAGTAAGCCGGGGTGGCACACAGGTACGCTCTTAGGGCCTCAGAGGACCTGACATGATTCTCTTCAAACTTCCACAGGGCCTAATATAGCTCATTATTACAGGAAGAGGAATGAGCAGCTAGCAAAACTAAGACACCATTTGGGAGCCTGCAATGATTAGAAACCACAGGAAACAATGTAGAGATTGAGCTTCAAAAAGGCATTATTGAAATGTAGAAATAAAAATACAAAATGTAGAGAGCAGGAAAACTACCCCACTATATCTTTTTATGTTCCTCCCAGAGTTGGAATCTCCTTTGAGACTCAAATAACTCCAGGAACTACAAAAGATATGGCTAAGAACCACTAAATTTGAAAAACAAAAAAAAATCTCCAAGCTGGAGGTGTGCCTCAAGCAGTACAGTGCCTTCCTGGCAAGTGAGAAGTCCTGAGTTCAAACCCCAGTATCACCAAAAAAATAAACCAAATTCCAAACTCAAGATGCCATCCTAATTCCAGGCCTTGGATTCCTTCTTCCTTTCAATTTTCCACTGACAGTAATGACTTCATCCGTGAAATTTTACAGCATTGTTGGAAACCACAGGTAAAACATCAAAGAGCTTTGCATCAGGAAGTGACATCCATGGCAGCAGAGTGACAAGGAGCACAGACACACTGGGCATCCAAAAATGCAAAGGCAGTCTGCCAGAAGACCAAGCCAGGGGACCTGTCCCCACCCTCCACCTCCCCAAGCCCTCTGCCATCTCCCAAACTAGAGGTGTGTTATGGAGGGAGCGATGGAGCTGGATCACACTAAATAACAGCTGCTCTGCTCACCCCTCACCATGGCATAAGGGATCCTATAAACTTGGCATCTAGTTATTGCCCATTAATATTTTATAATGGTGGTAATTTGAAGATGGATTCCATTGCTCTTGAAATCTTCACTCATAACTTTCACTGGGCATAAAAACCCCAACATGCACATCCAGTGAGAGCCAAATGGTCCTCGCAGAGTTTCAGCCTGTCCCACAAACACTCGCAGTAATGCCAAGTGGCAACTCACCATGTGGCTACTCCCGGCCTCTCAAAATTTCCATCTTCTCAAGTCCCCAAAAAACTTCCAACCATCAACAGCAGTCAATAAGCCATGAATTATTGAGCTTGCAGGATGCAGATCATGATATGTATGCATATGTTTGGAAGACAAGATTGTAAAACAAATGGGCTCCACTGTGGCTTATAGGAACCCAGCACACATGCCCTTAAGGAAGCGTCTGGAATTACTCTACCTGCAATGTTGTTCAAGCTTGGTTTTAGCCCATGGGAGACGGGGGGAAAAATCAGTTTTCTTGGTAAGAGTTTTTGCTTCTGTTTTTCCAAGTGTACTTGTATGGAATAATTTGCTGAATGAAACACAGCTGGTTGGTCTTTGCAAAAACCAAAGCACAGGCTTTCTTTTGAGGTCCCAGTTTTCACTCTTAATGCCTATGAGCTGTCTGCAGAAAAAGATGGGTATAACTATTTTCCTTCCATCCCCCCCCACCAGCCTATGCTTTCATCTGCCAGAGACATTCCAAACTCCTGCCCTAATTTCCTAACAACCTCTAAAAAAGGGGCCTGAACAACATACAGCACAGGAACCGTTCTAGTTCACAAGGCCCTTGACCCAAATACTGTGACACAGCCAGGGTGCTACTTCCACAACCCTTCCCCATCCAGATGCC